CTAGCTTCCAGAAGTTACCGAGTATCCCCCGTCAAAGCTCAAATCTCTTCCCCTCCTGTCACTTACCTCAGATTCCTTCTATCTCAACAAAGAAAGTCCATTACCTTAGACAGAAAATGGCTCCTCTCTGACCTGCCCATTCCCAAAACCAAGACAAAAATCCTTTCCTTTCTAGGCCCTTTCTAAGCCTAGCTAGATATTTTAGAACATAGATCCCTAACTTCTCCCTGCACCCTGTTGGCAAGACCCCTATACAACCTCAGCAAGAGCCCCCCTAAAAAACCATTATCCTCCTCACCCCGACACTCCTTCATTAAGCTCCGTCAAGCCCTTGTAGAAGCCCCAGCTCTCCATCTTCCTGATTTGTCGAAGCCCTTCTCATTATACATTCATGAGAGGTCCAGTCAAGCTTTAAGAGTCCTAGGCCAATATTATGGCTCATCCTTTGCCCCAGTAGCTTATATCTCCAAGCAATTAGACCCCACAGTTCAGGGATGGGCCCCCTGCCTACGAGCATTAGCCGCTAGACAGCTCTTGCAGAAAGAAGCTCATAAACTGACATTCAGGGCGCCCCTTACCATTCTGTCCCCACATCACCTAAAAGATCTCTTAACCTACAAAAGTTTACAGACTCTCCCTCCCTCCAGACTCCTGACCTTACTGTCCTCTTTCCTCCAAAATCCCGTTCACCCCCTTTGCCATCCATACCCGAATCATGACTTTTTCCTCCTTTACTGCTCTCTCGCTTTTTTTCCTCATTCCTATTGTCTTCCCCACCACCCCAGCCTCCTTTGTATGGCGATTCAAAGTCAGACAGACTTACACACAGCATCAAACAAAAGTTACTGCCCTCATTGCCACACCAGACTGCCCTCTGAAAAGCTGCTCTGAGCCTTTATACCTCCACTTTCCTCCCTCCACTGAAGTGTTCACTAGCAGCTACCCTTATTCTCCCTACCTCTGCTTCCTCTATGACCAAAAACAAGCCTATTGCAGGCGATGGCCAGATACCTACAGGAGATGTCCCTACTAGTCTTGCACCATTCACTACATAGGTAACTTCCAGTACCCACAGTATTACTCCTCCAACCGTTTCATGAAATATCCCAATGGCTCATTCTCCTTATCAATCCCAGATCCCTGGGACTCTCGATGGGCTGCCAGAGTCACAGCCTCAGTTTACTACGGGGGGTCCTCGACCCCCCACAGTACCCTTCATATCTCTCGAAAGTATGTTCCCTCTCATTCCCAGATCTCTCAAGTTGCATCAGATAGCAGACATTCCGAAAAAGTCATTATCCAAACTCTTGATAGCGCCTCTTCATCTTCTTATCCCCACCCCTCTTCCCATTTCTCCTACTCTTCATTACAGCTCATTCAGGACACCACCATCTTTCTCAACCACACCCTTAACACAGCCAATTGTTTCTTGTGCGCATCACTACAGCGCCCACTGCTGGCCGCCGTGCCCCTTAATATTTCCAACTACTCCTTCCATGCAGAAAGACAACCCCTCTGCCCCCTGGCAGACATACCCCTATGGGAACCAGAATACGCAGATAATCTCACCATCCACCACTGTGTAAGCCCAACTCCACCCCCCTCCAGCGCACTTCACTGCCTCTCTATCTACACCCCTACCTCCGGCTCTAAGACTTTTACGCAACCGGGACACTTCTTTTAGTGTAATGGCAGTCTTTTCAACTCACTGCCTCTCAACTCCGATACACCCTGCATTCTCGTCACCCTAATCCCACAGTTTACACTTTACAGCATGGCAGAATTTCTTGAGCTCCAACCTCCCTTGCCCTCGCGCACAAAAAGAGCTGCTTTCCTTCCCATCATGGTCAGTAGCTCTTTGATCACCTCAGCCATTGGGGCAGGGTTTTCGGGAGAAGCCTTGGGTCACTCTCTATAGGCAGTTAGAGATCTCAACGCCAAACTTGAGGGAGCCCTGACATCCACTGCCGATTCTCTAGCCTCTCTCCAAAGACAGGTCACTTCGCTAGCTAAAGTCACCCTTCAAAACCGGCGGGCCCTAGATCTGCTTACAGCCGAGAAGGGCGGCACCTGCGTCTTCCTCTGGGAAGAGTGCTGCTATTACATCAACGAATCTGGCATTGTAGAAACTGACATCACCAAACTCACCGACCTTGCCTCCAGTCTCCACTCTGCTTCCAATTCCAACCCATTCTCTTCAATACTAACAAACCCCCTCCTCACCTACCTCTGGCCCATTGCAGGCCCCATAATAATCATTCTTCTCGAGTGTCTCTTCTTAACCTGTATAATAAAGTTCATCAAATCCCAAGTCGGAAAAATCTCTAATCAAGCTTTCAACCAGCTTTTACTCAGGAACTACCAGCTTCTGGCCACAGAAGATCCCTCACCCTCACGTGACCTCCTCACCACACACTGAGATGGACCCCTCTCTCCACTGGAAACTGTTCCTGGAAACAATAGCCGCAGACGCCTGGCTCCTGACACCCATATCCTCTTGGCCAACCTATGGTTACAGGGAACCTTCATTGATTTCCAAACCTGAAGAAGTCCACATCTACTCGTCCTTACTGCGGGGAGTCCTATCAACCCTTTCCTCCCAATCCTCAAGCCCTCACTCCCTTCTCCGCCCCTGTTCAGCAGGAAGCAGCCAGAGAGAAAGCAACGTCCACAAACCCATAGAGGAGAAAGGGGGGAATGAAGGGTCCCCACCAGTAAGATGGCAAACTTCCGGCTTCTCTTCGGGGTCCTCGGTTCCCGCCGGCGCCACCTGAAGCCCAATCACCTCTCGCCCCCCTCCCAATCCCAGCACCTAGCCAACAGCCACCAGCCCCGTAGAAGTGACACCTCAATCAATTCATGCCCCCTACTATATAACCCAGCACCTTTCCCTAATAAAGCAGAACTCTCCGGTGAATTGCTGCTATGTGTCGCTCCTTTCCTTTCAATTGCTATGTCTCTAGTCCTTTGATTGGGTAAATGAATAAGTGAAGAGAGGTACCAACTGCTAAATCCGGGTTACAATTGAATAAGGAGCTGTATTTTAAAAAGAAAGGTTCCACTGGCATACGAGGCCTAGGGAAATATCAGTCTTTACGTCTAAGTATCAGCACTTATGTACTGACATAAATCTTAGGAATCTAGAAGTGGTGGAAAAGTGCATGGGAACCACATGCCTTGAACTCTCATCCTTAACATCTGTCATGCTTAAACTCACACTATAGACTTTCTATATACTAGGTCAGGGGAAAAAAAAAAAAAAGGTGAAGAGTGCCTTTTATAACCCTCCAGCCCTGCAACATCCTGATGCCTGACATTTCCCATCTTCAATAGCACAGTCCCAGAATATCTCTAGTTTCAAAGTTACCCAGTGAACATCAGGTAAAACTTTAGTAAAGCTAAGAACAATCATGATTAAGTGAACTACTTATGAAAGAATCATTCTCTAAAAACACAAGTTCAAGATTAGTCTCCTCTCATTAGGAAACCTCAATCAACTACCTTCCTAAGGCAGCCTTCGTTCCCCAGTCCATGACTAGTTTGAATGGGGTTAGAGTGGATAATTGCATTGTCTATCCTAACTAGTAATTGAGAGCTGCTACTGATTTGGAAGTTTAAAAAAGTCAATAGTTTTATAGATGTTAATGGTGCTTTAGGCATTCCAGATGTGGGCTAAGGAAGAGGAACCTGTGAAAGACTCCAGGCAATATACTTAAAAGAGACCATGCAGACACAATGGCAAAAACTAGACTTGTATTTCCATTCACCTTTTGCTACTAGCTCTCCTGTAAGTAGGGGGAATAGTCACATGGGTAGATGGGGCACGGTGATGTTGGATCAGGCAGAAGTTGAAAAAGACAGCATATCAAAGCCAGGCCTGAGGGCACTATGTAGGGTTATAGTATTCAACCTTTTTTTTAAATAATTCCCTTATCAAGAAATTTCATGAAAGACCATTTTTCTAATTGTATGAGGAAGGTAGTTGTGGGTTTTGACTAAAAAAATGTTAGGAAACATCTTTTTAAAAGTATTTTCTCTTCATTTTTCTTCCTTTTATAGCCTAGTAAAGAAAACAATGGTAATTACTAGGCTCATACCAATTTAGGTAGTGGGATAAAGAGATTTAGTGAAGATGCCAAGTTTTTCTGAACTGGATACCCTGTTTTCTTCCAAGAAAAGACTCAAAGAATGGTGCGTGACTTTTCAAAGACTTTTTTTCCTTAAAATCTGGCAAATCTTTTCCATAACAAGGTCCGGTACTTCCCTATCTCAGCAAAAGCATCAGTTTTTGGTAATAACAGCAGGGTTGCTGAGGTGTAGCAAAAGGAAGTAGAAGACTTGGAAAAACAAATAGAAGGATGAATTTCAGTTGCAACATTCAGTCTTCCTGTGACCTTAGGCAAGTCACTAATCTCTCTAAACCACCCATTCTCAACTAGCATGGTAGCTCCTTCAAGGCAACAAAAATTGGTTCAGGGGTACAGAGTGTAAATGTGAGATCTTATTAAGTATAAAACACAGGTATACATACAGTATATAAACAAGATACACAGTGTATCTGTGGTATTGAAGTTTCATAGGAGAGAAGACTGGAGGAAAACAATGTCTGAAAAGGCTCCTCGAGGGTAAGGGGAATGATAATGAACAAAAGGCTGGCAAGCATTTTCCTAAACCTTCATTTCCTCAAATATAAAAATGGGTCAGCATTTCCACCTTAAAGGGTTATTATGGTATAACTAAATCTAAATATATGCAGAGAGAATGAGAGATTGGAAATAAAGCAGGCAGAGAAAATGACCAAAATTGTAGAACAGTTGTTAAAATATGACAGAAACACAAAGATTCAAACACATACAATTTAATATCATCTAATTGTATTAACACGACAATTTTGTCTCATTAGTCATTTTAGCAAACACCTAAGATCCGAAAAGAAAATGTATAGCAAAAATCAAATACTAAGTGCAAGAAGAGTTCATAAATGTGGCAAATATACAAACCTAAAACACCAATTTTAAGACCTGCCAAGCTTGTTTTAATTTTGTCATAAATATCTTCTGATGCGAAGTCAACAGCAATGGTCTTTGTTTCCACTTTGAATTTTTCTCCTAGGGAAAAAAAAACACCAGTGGAGGGAGAGAGGGAAAATTAGTATATGGCAAGTATGATTAAAACATTTGATGACATTATCCTTTCAAACTCTTTTTCCCCCCACAATTTGTTATGAAATTTGGACCAGGATAATTTTAAGCAATCATGAGACCATCTAAGAGATGATATGGAGTCAACACAATAGCTCTGCAATAAAAATTGAATATTGTCACAGAGCTGGCTGAATGTTCCTTAATCAGTTCTTCTGTAAATCAATGATTACTCTCTAGACCCTTAGGTACAAATAATAAAACATGACTCTTCTCATAATGTTACATACTCTTTAAATATCACTGATTCTGTGATTTTAATTGCAAACTGAGGTTTCACAATTTCAGGAAGAAATCTTTATTGCAAAATATTTTAAAGTGTGATATATTAAAGCAAAAAGTCCATCTTGTTAAATTGAAAATAAACTGAATATGATATTGGAATTTACAAGCTTGGTTAAGTCACTCCCTTTAAGACTCCACATAAAATGAACAGTAGTAGAGCTACAAAGTGACAAGAAAGACCTCAGTGTTCTACTTTGCATAGGACCACTAAGGTCTAAACAGAGTGCTAGAGGAAATAACAGATTCAGAGATGAGACCCTAAAGAAACAAAACTCCCTTAAGGTAACGTATAATGTTAAGTTCTGCCTTCACTAGTGAGCCCATTTGAGAAGACATTATGGACTGTGAGGTAACCAGAAATGGGGTACCAGTTTCATTTCCACACTTACTTGCTTAATGACTTTGAGCAAGTCACATATTCTCTCTGAGTCTCAGCATCTGCTTATGAAAATGAAGGTCAAACTATCCACGCTATGATGGGAGGCCCAAGTGGTGCCTACTGGCATGCAGGAGCCATCCATAAACGTTAGTCTCTTTTTCTCTTTAACTAATTCCACTCTCACTTGACTTTGTGAGGTTCAGTAGGCTAGGCATACTATTCTTTTTGATAAGAATTCACAAGAATTTTAAAATCCATCTTCCAAAAATAAGTTTTTCTTCATTTGAAGTCAATGTTCACTCATCACAGTGTATGCGGCATTAATCCACATAGGTTTTCGTTCTTGATCTAAAAGGATTTATGTCTAAAACTAAAAGGCTGGTTCACAAGAGATTTGATGCTTAGTTAGACTCAGTGAAAAGTATGGACCCTAGGCAGGAATCCATGAATAAACTGGAGAGGAGAATAACTGACCTAGAAAACACCTTATTGGGTGTTAAAGGTTTATGTACTATTCCAATATAAATGTGTTATTATACATGTTCATGTAATGGAGAGCTAGACACCGAGCTCTCATTTCACAATAGCTGGCCCAACATTTCCTATTATAAAGGGTTCCCAGAATTTACCACTGGAAAATAAAGAACACTGTTCTTATTAAAGCCACAGATTCACAAGAAAAAAAAGACCAAAATCAAAAGGCTGAAGGATACCTTTTATTAATTGTAAAATTTTATTCAGGAATAAAATAAGATAAATTTATCTCTTCATTTTGAGAAAAACAAAGTGTAATTTCCACATTAATGCTATATATATGGACATTTAGGAAAATTTCTCTCTGGTAATAAAAGCCACGTCACCACCCCTGAATCAAATTTGCTCTTTTAAATCTCCCAGGACTTGGTGAGTGTACTTACATTGTAGACTCTTGTATAGATAGATGTACTGTTAAAATTCAGAGACCCTTTTGGAACGAATTTATTTAATAAGAACCTTCAAGACCTTCTATTAATTTAATAACCCTATTAAAGCACTTAACATAATACATTACATAGAGTCTCAATTTCCTAACAAACACTGATCGTTCTTTGCCATCTTCGCATATTCAGCACCTAGTACGATGCATGGCATACAGCGATGCACTAGTCACTCAAATGTTTGCTGAAGGAGTAAATACACCTAGGCTGACACAGCTCATTTATTGAAATCATCTTCTCAATACTTCTTAAATTCAATTCTATAGAAATAAAGCTGCAGGCTAGTGAGAGATGTCTATATGACACATCATAATATAATGTACTTACTTTTCAGTATTTTAAAGTATAAATTAAATTTAAAGATAAATTGAGAAACAGCTCTTCCATCTGTCCAAAAAGGTTTGGACTACCATGCTCATACAAGTAGAAACATTTTAGAGTTATAAGAAACCTTAGAATCCATTCAGTCTCATGAAGAAAGTACTCCAGGAGCTTAACTCAGGGCACGGAGATGAAGGTTGAAGATATTTTAATCATGGACCACTGTCCCTATCCACAGTCTTGAACAATTAGAGGGTGAGGAGACTCCTGGGGAAATACTATAGCCATTGCCTACCAATTTTAACTTCTTAATCTACATTCATTAAATTCAATATTCAACTATAAAAATGTATGGCATGTTTTTAAAAGCCCCTCCAAATGTTTTACAATATTTAGAAATATGTAAGAAGTACAGTCTTTCGTATTTTCTCTAATTTTAAGGGGAAAACAAAGAACAAAAAGTCTCCTAACTACATTCTCTCCACTTCCCTCCTTTTCCTGTGTTCTTATTTCCCCCAGACTCTACCATCTCCCTCTACCTGTACCCCTTGGGGGGTGACATCTCCCCACAGAGACTCCTTCAGGAGCAATGGAGAAAAGGTGACTCTGCCCTACAAGGGAATAATTCATCTGACTCCAATTTTAAAGGCCCATTTAACTACAATTATCAGAGATGCTAACAAATAGTGGCCGATTTTTTTACACTGCCCTTGAAAACATATTCATGATAATTTTAATCTCATATGAAGAGACCTACTTTTAGTCAAACAGAAAAATTCATCATAGCATCATTAGGAATCCATCCCAAAACAAGTATTTCTTTATTTTAAGCCAAGGGTAGTATGTTTTATTCATTACAGCCTATTTAATTAGAACCATTTGTAATAAATAAAAACCTTATACCATGTCAATTTGTTCTATTGATAGCAGTTGAATAGGTCCCACTCTTTTGAAGGCCCTGAGTTCTAACACTTGGTTCAGGTGTTGTAGACCCATGGACAAGGCATCTTTGAAGAAATTTTCCAGTAAAGATGTTTAATTTCTACACTTTGGGGGGAAAATGGCCAGCCAATGGAAACATCTTAAGTTCATATTTTGAGGTGAGAAAAATACAAAAACTATTTCTGACATTACTATACTTAACATTCCAAGAATATGTTGCTAATGCTATTAAAGCAGGGTGTTATGGGCTGAATGTCTGTGTCCCCCCTAAAATTCGTACGTTGAAGGCATAACCCACGGTGTGATGGTATTTGGAGGTGGACTTTTGGGAGGTAATTCGGTTTTGATGAGGTCATGCTGGTGAGACCCTCCTAATGGGATTAGTGTCCTTGTAAGAAGAGGTAGACAAAAAAGCTGTCTCTCCACAGCATGCACCAAGGAAAGGCCATGAGAGGACACAGTGAGAAGGCAGCCGTCTACAATCCAGCAAGTAAGCCCTCACCAGAAATTAAACTTCCCAGACCCTTGATCATGGACTTCCAGCCTCCAGAACTGTTGACAAATAAATGTCTGCTGTTTAAGATGTCCAAACTATGATACATGTTATGGCAGCTCGAGCTGAACAAAACAAAGAATTTGTTTGAAAAAGCATGGCATAGTTAGAAAAGCCCTTAGACCTGAGTGCCAGCTGAGTCTGTGAGGAGCCCTTCACACAAACCTTTTGACCTTATGAAATTCCCTTACTGCAAGAAATAATACCTCCCTACAGAGTTCTTGTGAGGATTGCACATCATAGCACATGAGAATGTATTTTATGAAACTGTAAGGTATTATAAAAGTGTCTTCTTTTCTCATATCTGCCAAAATCTACAAAGATGACTGCATCATATATAGTTTTTTCCTGAACAGCACAAGCTGCTATAGGGATTATCTGTATCATTAACTGTTTCCTCTTTGCATCAGCTGCATATCCTTTTTCAAGTTGGCTGTGCACACCCAACTCTACTTTAAAGAGTGATTTATTTATTACTTTATCATCCATGGAATCAATGGTCATGATATACTTACTATTTTTAGCCATGCCTTTACTGCCCAAGTAATCTTTGACTCAATCTGCTAGAGATTAACCTTTGAATCACTGTTTTATCCATTCTAAGATGCACATTTTTATCCACTTTTTTATCTCTAAAATCAAGATGCCTTACAATCGATGGTATGTCTGTTTAATTGGCAATTTTTCTTTCTTAAAGCATATAAACTATTATCATTTTTCATGACCAAGGGTGTTTCAGATTTGGAAAGAAGCCTAGAACCCTGCTGACATCCACTGTTCTCTTACTGCCACAAAATGAACCAAGGACAGCAAGATGCTCTGGTGTCCGAGTGCTTAAAATCTTCTACCACTACCACTAGTCAAGGAAGCATATTTCCCATCCTAAACTAAGACCCCAAAACTTTAGCGTAAGTTCATTCATTTATTCAGGAGCACTTGCAGCCAGACAAAACATCTCACTCCCTAAATTGTAGCTCTATGAGGGCAGGACTCATGTCTGGTGTTTTCTTTATCACTATACAACTCAGAGCCCAAAAGAACCTGGTACGCTATACAAGCTCAGTAAGTAAGTTTTGACTGAATAAATTCAAGAAGTACACACAGAGCAGTGCCCACATGTCAACTTTACCCTGAGAATAAGAGCAGACACCCTCAAAAAGATTGCATTTTGTTGAAGGACATAGGTGTGAAACCAGATGCTGCTCCAGTGAACACGAACAAAGCACACACAGAGAAAGTAACTCACTCCTGCACAGCGCAGTTTTAAATAGGTGACATCTGCATTGAGTACGTGAGCTGGATTTGGCCATGCATAGAAGGGGGAGAAGTGGCCAAAGGCAGGAAGTGGGGAAAAGGAAAAGTGCGTTGGAAGAATTCCTGTGGGTGACGTATATGGAGCACAGGGAGAGGTGGAAAGAAAACATCTATAGAAGAAAGCTAGGAGTGGTTA